GCCGGCCGTCGGGCAGCCGGGAGCGGCGACGACCAGGGATGACCGGGGGGAAGGGGTGAGCGGGGTCCCCGACCGTTTCCGCGGCCTCCTCTCGCCTCGCACTCGCCCCTCCAACCCCAGAACCGCTCGCCGGGCGGAAGGGCAGAGATCGGTCCTGCTACCACTGAGGTGCCACAGGACCAAGCAGTTTTTAAAACGTGGATGAAATACAACCACCACTAGCAGCAGCCTTCGTTGGCATTTTGATTACGGTTTCTCTTCAACCCTTCATTATCAGTTAATAGAAAATAAGGCCTGAAGAGCTGGAAAAATGTCAATCTATTTCATGTAATGAGAAACAAGCTCAATCCAAGCCATTAGTTAAACGCAACATTGCCAAGGGCACAAAATCCCTTTTGATCCTGCTTGTTCTATGGGACTTACACTTCAGCTGCAACGCTATCAATCCCCAAAGCCAATTGTTAGGGCATCGTCTTTTCAGTTCTTGCCTCCAGATAAGTCTAAATTACAAATTTAATGTCCAGTTTTAAAATCATTAGTCTTGTTTGTTGAAAGTACTTTAAACTGTTTCCCAGGAGCAACTGTTTGACTGTAGGAGATCCAGATCCTTTCCCCCCTGCCCAACCCTTCTTGCTCTCTCAGCCATACCAAGCCCAATCTAAATGACCTCCCCAGCACTTCTCACAGGCCCCCTGCCCAGAACAGAGCACTACTTCTCTCCCCTGAGCACTATTCCTGGTGGAAACGTGCAGCAACCACAGATAAGCTTGTTTTAACCACATTTCAAAATGATCCTCTTCAGCAGTTTGCACCGGACAGATGGGCTTGCCATCCATGCAGCTGCACATTAGTGCCTTCAAGGCAGACAAATTGAAAGAGCTGCTGTCAAAAGAATTTTATTACACATACCAGCTAAATTGTCTTCCACATCAAGAATGAAAAATAATTTTTAAATACAATCACTGCTCTAGATAACAAGGAAAAATACTTCAATTACAACAGCTCTTTCCTGAAAAGATCTGAATATTCACGTTTCCTAAATCTGAAATCCTATTATGTCACTCCAGTCTCTACATCAGTTCCTCAGGCTATAGTTTCAGAGGACAGGACCTTCAGCAAGAAGTCACCTTTATCACCTGAGAAAGTCTTGTAAGACTCCTTCCAATTGTTCTCCCCTCTGGGGTACTGCAGTTGTGTCAGAGCCACTCTTTGTGGAGACTCTGAACCAGGCAGCTGATTTAATCCATGCTATTTTTGATTACTTTTGAGAAGGAAAAAGGGATGGGGAGGGAGGTTCACAGCACAGACAAAGACTGTGGCACGGTGAAACTAGGGACAGAGATTCCAAAATGCATATTGCTGGCAAAGGCCCCTGATTGTGAAATCATGCCCTTGATCACCTCCCCGCCTCCATCTTCTTCCAGCCTCTTGGGTTATGGTTTTCCTTCTTCTTAAAGAAGATTTCCAACTGAAGTATTATAGACTGAAAATCTTTCAAATGACAAGTGGGATTAAGACAAGCTCTGAACCCATGGTTTTAAAGGGTAGAGAAAATCCCTTTAGTCTTTTCTGAGAAATTCCTGCACAACAACGTTTGATGAGTGGACCTTTGTCCAACATGGCAAGTAACCAGCTTAGTGTTAATTGATACCAGATAGGCCTTGAGTTTTTGAGATTAAAAAAAATAATTGACCACAATGAAGTATGGCTGCAAGACGCTGGATAGCCAGTTACCATGCAAGCTCTCCCCCTCAAAGGGGAGCAACTCACTTGGTGGTGCTTTAAAGGGAACCCAGAGCAGCAGCCAAGAATGATGATCAGACCACACCACTGGCGACCCACAGTGCCACAGCTGCAGGAACAGGAAACTGGATTAGAACCTTCTCTTTCAATTGTAAAAGTCTGAGGAGTAGAAAGGAGGGCAAGACAGAGCCCAGACTTCTCTAGACTAACCCGGAGATACTGCTCTGTAATTCAAGTGAAATTTGAATTGAATTTGTAATTCAAAGAAAAGTAACAGCTTCGAGGGGGGGGGGAAAAAAAAAAAAAAAAAAAAACAACAAAAAAACAACCAACCAAACCCACATGGAAAACTATTTATTTCATCTCTATTGTCTCCATGCAGAGCAGACCAATACAGATGAAGGGAGAAAATGCATAAGAGCAGCTGAAAAAATAGAGCTAGAAAATACGATTCTCTCTGCATTTCCAAAAGTGACAAATGTGGTGGAGTGATGCTACATTTCCTCCTAAGGCTCTCCATCCTCAGCCTCAGGGCTGATGTAGTGGAAAAATAACAAACCCCTCCCTCCCACAAGCCCCATGCTACCTCCTACCAGGGTATCTTCCCAAGAACTGCAGACCGTCCAGGCCTGTGGTAGCAGCCAAGAAAAACAACTCAGAAATTCTTTCTTCAGTGTCATCCACTTCACATTCCTGAACGCTGAGCACAAACTCCTGACCGGTTTTCAGCCTTGGCAAGGCTCCGTGCTGATGCAACACCACCGACTCAGGGGCACTCACCTGGCAATGCCTCAACTTAAATGCCAGCCTCATTTTCAGAAAGACACCTTGGGAAACAGCAGGCACTGCTTCCTCCGGAGCCCTACTACAGGGTCCACTTAGCTGCAGTCACTGGGCAGAGGGAGAACCCCCAAAGCCAGAACTAGAGGGTTAGCATACTCCCCCAGTCCCTGCAGGCTAATCAGATTAATCCTCCTTCCAGGAAAGCAGGAAGCGGATGCAACCTTCAGACTTTGTGACAACTGAATGATACAGGGAGTAGTTAGCAAAGGAAGGCAACTTTGTAAAGAGGAATAAAAAAAATTGCACTTCTTGTTACAGTGAAACTAGTTACTGATGTAAGCCTGGGGTGAGGAAAGATGAAAAAATTTTAGACAGCAGTTCCTGGGCAGAGAGAACTGCAAGCACGAGCTCTCCAGCACTCTCTGAAAAGTAGGACAGGAGCTGTCATAAAAACTGTGTCAACAGTTGAGGAATCTCCTAGGGAAGTAAATACCTCTGCTGTGGGCACAGCATACCTGCCTCATTGCTCTGACCCAAATCGCCCTCTCAAGGGACAAGCCGTCTTGATAAAGGCCCTGTGCAGACCAAAGAGCTGTAGATTCACAAAAGCTGTTAAAAGACAGAGCTGAGTTGGTGCAATTTACGTTGTGGCACCTATTTTGTGTCCAATGACTCTGCTAGTTCAATTAGACCTGTTTTTAAAGAGATTTAAGGAAAGCAAGGGTAAGCTCTGTGGAAGGGTTGATCTAGTAATTGTGCACATCTCTGTGGCAACAAAACATCCCAGTGGAAAGATGGCCTGGTCAGCCCTGTGAGCTGGGATGTGGGAAAGCACTAGAAATGTAATTTATTTTTATTGGTCTCAAATTGCCAGAAATTTTATCCCAAGCATCACAGAACAGAAAACTCCTCCTCAAGCATACTTATTGTCACCCTTTATATCCCTTTCTTTCCTTACTTAGCACACAGTGTTTCTAGACCCATTTTTTTAAAGTCTTTTCACCAGCAGTTTCATCCTTCCCATTTTACCTTCCTTCCAGTATTCTTTGCTGTTGTGCCCCCTCCTTTAAAGACTGTCAGTATTATTTCTTACCCATTTATCCCCAAGACACTAACTCCACTGTGAGGTAAGAAGGCCAGAAATAGGCTACCATCTGTATTTTTGGTTATAGCATGCTCTTATATAGTCTACACTGAGCAGAGGAAAAGCTAACAAGGCGTTATCGGCTGCTGACCAGGCTGTAGTGTTCAACTACTGTCCAAACTGCCCAGACCTCTGCTGTGACAGTCTAGGGCTGCTGTAGCATGCCAGGCAGGGCTAACATGCTACACCTCAAGAGAGTTCTGAAACATGGTGTGGGGCAGATGGTGGGTGATTCGGGTCTCAAGAGCAGGCTCAGAGCCACGTTCAGCTAATGGTTATGAGGAGAGGGAGCTCAGTCGCAACAGCTACAAGGCTTTCCTTCCAGATGTAGGTGAGCTGGTAGTATGGCAATAGAAGAAACATTTACTGACCATTTTTCAGACTAACAGTTAGGCTGTGCTGGCTATTGGAGTGGTTAGGGCTGCAGCAAGTAATCTCCAAGCTGAGCCATTTAATTGTTGTGACATATCCTAAAGTGCCTCAAGCTTTTGGCTCAATTTCAACATAAACAAATACAAAACAGACCAAAGAAGTGTACTGCTGAGGCTAACATTACCTTTAGGAACAAGTGATGTCAGTGAAAAAAATGGAAAGGGTCCTTTCCCGTCTTATCTCATAGCACCGTTAACTTCTCATGGGTAGGGAGTTCTGGCTAAAGCTGTTAGTTTATTGTTGCTATGCCATCCCTGTTCTGCCTCCAGCCCTTAGAGTGGTAGGAAAAGTTCTTTCTCTTCATCAGCTACAGGAATCACCTGGGTTTTCACACAAGAGCTTAGGAGGTGCAGTTCCATCAGAATGAACCAAACGAAACATTGCCCATTCACTGTAGAGCAGTTGTTCAGTTCATTTCTGCTCACTGTATCTTTTGCTCCATTAAAAAACAAAACAAAAAAAACCACGGAAGCCCTGATGTGTGGATTTTAGCAGAACAGGGATAGGAGAGCCAGGGAATGAAGTCCTGTACACTCAGACCTCTTTCTCACCTGCTTCTCATACTAGCAGCCAGATCTGCACGCACACACATAGGAAGTAACATTAGTGTTCCTTATTGCTTTGTAACAGCTCAGAGTCACTGTGGTGGCTCTGGGAGGCATCATGAGGTCTGCGCAGAGGTCACTCAGTTGTGAACGAGAGTAGCACCATGACTGTAATGCCTGTACACAGGAGCAGAATTTGCTGCAGGGAGTTCCTGGGGAAGAAACAGCAAAATTAGGAGGAGCCATGGACCAATCCCAATAGGCAGCAGTGTAGAGGCTCACAAATGTTTTATTCTTTGCCCTTCCAAATCTACAAGGAGAACACAACAGCTGTATGAAGTCACTAACACAGCTCAGAAGACCCTTTCCCAGCACCCAAAGCAAAGAAGTTGTCTATAAACTGATATGTGTTTGTTCCACTCAGCTGCAAGACCCAACTTCAGGTTTCAAAATCGTTTTAAGCTGATTCAGTCATGCAGCTACCCGAGTATATATTCCTGTCCTTTCTCTCACAAGAGAACCAACACTTCTGCAGCATGTTCAAGGATACTTCAGGGACCTAATCCAGCTAACAACTACAGTTATGAAAATAAAAAAAAGCTGATGACTTTTGCCTTCTTTTCAGCACCATCTCACGTTTACACTGGATTGAAGTGAGTATGTACCTACCATCTCTGCATACTCTGCCAACAGCTCTGCCAGCACAAGAGGTTACCAACCCAAAAGCGAGCTCCCAACTGATCATTAACATTTCTCCACCAGAAGTTCCTCCTAAGACATATCCTCCTCAGATATAAACTGTGGAGCTGGTTTTTGAGCACTTCCTCAACTATTTCAGTCAAAATTAACTAGGTGAGCCAAGGCCTGTTATTTAAGCTACTGAAGTTACTTGTCTCATTACAGCTGAAATAGGAGGGAACATTCAGGGGCAGCTCTGTCAGCAGATTTGAGAGGGCCTTTACTGTGGTACAGCTGGGTTTGGACCTGCTACAGCCTTAATCAGACTGCAAGAAACTAGAACAATAGAGATGAGGAGAGGCCAAATATACCAGAATATATATATCAGTGTAGAAAAGAGATGACTGAGGTGGGAGACAGTAACAGACTATGAAATGCTGAATTGCAGAGAGAAGAAAACTATTATTTTCTACTCACATGGCAACACCTAATCAAAATTAATAAACAAGAGGCTAAAAAACAAATAATAAGAAGCATCATTTAACACAGTGCAGTCAAACTATACAAACCTGCTGCCAAAGGGAGATCGCAGAAGCCCAAAGTAATGGACAGTGTCAAAAAGGGATGAGAGAAGCATGTGAAGGATAGGTTCACGCATGGTTATGAGACACACACACCTCTGTGGGGCCCTCATTCAGACAGTCCCTAAACCAGTACATGCCAGAAGCTGACAAGACAGACTAGGGAGTGGGTCACCTTGCTGGACATGTTTCTGAGCAACCTGCTCCAGCTGGTCATGCTACATACTGTGCTAGCACAATCTTTGGGACTGACCCAGTTGGAGGTTCTCATGTTTTATACTGTCTTTGTAGTCCCATAAATGCAATAGCAGCAGTCTATCCAGCCTTGCCCATGGGATTTGGAAAGCTGTCATTCATGTGCTCCCAGAACAGGCACAGGGA